TTTTTATGAGACGAGTTTTTCTTCCTCTGTATCCTGAGTATCTTCTGAGCCTGCAGGATTGTTACATTTTCCAAAATCTCTTCTGTTCTTCCTGTTAAAGTCTTTCTTCAATGATTGCATTAAATTAGTTAAGAAAGTAATTTCTAATTCTTTTTTTCCAGTTTCAAATAAACTAGGTGTGGGGTTTTTTGTTTTTGGTTGGGGTTTTTTTTTTTTTTTCTTTGGTACTATCATGCTGTTTTCTTTCTCGGTTACAGCAACATTAATTATTGTTTATTTGTGTTTAAGCGGCACTTAGGAATCCATGCCTTGTCATGCTTGGTGTGTGTATTTGCTTTGAAGCACCAAGTATGCCTTTGTTTGTGGGGTTTTTGCTTTGGTTCTTCAGTGTCTTTTACTTTATGAACTGTAACTGATGCACAACCTGCCAAGGCAGGTGATGTTCTCTCCTCTGTAGAAGCAACCTGGCTAAATCAGTAGCGAAGCAGTTCAGTGCAGCAGTGTGGGAGGAATTTTGTACAGGTGTTGCCCATATGTGTTGGGTATATGCCTGGAAATGGGAAGGGTGATGGTAAATTTTTTCATCTGTCAGTATATCATTTTTCACAAGGGGTGGAATTTTTTTGAAGGCTTAGGGGAAGGACGAATTTTGCTCAAGGTTCTTTCATTTTATTATTGTAAGATTTATAGCATTGCCAAGCCCCTTATTTGGACTGATCCCAGACCTGCCATCCCTCATCCATTTGGAGTGCACAGCGCTCTTCCTGTATTTTTCCAGCTTTTACTCCAAAGGTGGAAAAAAAATCAGCATTTGAACTATTTTTTGAAGGGATTAGTTTGTTCAGTCCTTACTTCTAAATTAGAAAGTAAGGAATGTTTTAAGGAGGCTTTGAGATTTCCATAGCTTTATTCTACATCCCACGATAGGGTTTGCAATTTTAGAGCACTAACATATTTTTACTTGAATTTAACCAACTCACTTCCTGCCCTGTCAAAGTCGCTTTGTCTGCCTCAGTTCCCTGCTGCTCTAGACTTAAAGGTATTACCTTTTGGCCTGGATCCACCCATCCTGACACTGAAACGAAGGCCTGACTGAGGAAAACATTCCAGGAACAGTTTATCCTTTTCTAGTTGATACGGATTCTCTAATGTAGGGTTGCTTTTTTGGCTTTTCTTTCAGTACTGCTGAGGCCACATGTCTTCCCAGCCACTCTGAAACGTCTCAGCAGTTCAGTTTCTTCTTACTACCTGAACAACTTTGGTAGATGGCCGTATGGTGAGAGATGCTATCATGTGCATTGGCTCTTGAGCTCCGTACTTCAGTACCTTGTGGAGTTGACTGGCAAGGTCTCTCCAAGTCTGGCCTTTTCCTGGAGTGCAGTTATTCCAGCATGCTTTATTCTGTATATTGAATCACAGAGTACCATGTTCTCTGGCTACTGTGCACAAAAGCAATTTTTCCTAATTTACATGTGTCTTCCAGAATGTCCCTTCTTAAAGGACAGAGGGCATCAATGTTGTCCGTTCTTGTATCGGGCTTCTACCCTGTGTATTACTTGTGTTACAAGTACCTAATTAGGTGTGTTAAGTGCTAGTTCTCAGTAGCTGGTATCACTGAACCACTTATGCCATGTATAGGAAAAACAATGGACACAACTTTATGACAATCTGATCATGGCCATCTAAGGGAAGGTATAACTTTTAACTTCTAGAAAGATTAAAATGACTGGGGACAAAGTCCGGACAAATGCCCTCTTAGCATGTTCTGTAGCTTCAGGCACTGAATTGCAGCTTGTCCAGCCGTTTGGTTCATATCCTGGTTTTCTTCTAGCTCAAAATTGTGCGTGTTTTGCTTTTTGCTGGATTCTTCTTTTGTACCTGTCTTTTGTAGGCTGGCACAACAACAGACAGAGAGTCCTAAGAAGAACTGCTCTAATGCACGTTTATGTTTCTCCTACCCCTCCCCCGGTCTCCTCTCACTCCCTCCCACCCCTTCCCAAATTCCATTAATATTTACAGAACAAGAGCCAGTACTCCAGCATTAGCCTCAAATTCAGAATGAGATTTTTCTGGCTCTATCTGCAGCTAATGTAGAAGACAACAGAGGTTAGAAATGCACTTTAAAAAAAAAAGAAAAACAAAAGGCCTTTTCATTTCCAACACACTAGATGAATTGTGTTAGGTATAAATAGGCCTACAAAAACCAGAACACATGTAAGAAAATATTATATGTATTGTTGTTGGAAGGCAGAGGAACATAAAATTATTTGCTCATTTACTAAATTAAAAATTCCTGAGCTTTAACTTATATGAACTCATTTTCACCATTGTTTCTTCAAATTTTGTGTGGGGAGAAAAGAGTTCCTTTCTTCAACTTACTGATTCATTTACAGGATAAGCAGTAAAATCAAAAAGTCAAATGAAAAGATTTGCCAAACATGAGAGAGAACTGTGTTGATAGTTACACACCGATAATGTATAAACTAAGCATTTGTAAGGAGGTATATAAGTAAACTTTTACATTCAGTCCACCAGTGAAGTTTTGCAAACATAGATTTCATAGGCAAACTGAGAAATTGGGAGGGGAGTGGAGAGAATGAAGAATTCAGATAATTTGCATTGTTTTATTTGACCCCAGACTAAGTGTTTTCTTTCATTTCTGTTGTTCAGTGCATGAAATGTGTTCATAACCTTTCTAAATTGAGTCAAAAGTAAAAAGCCAAAATCAAAAGATAAATATTTCTGTTCTTCCAAATTGTTTTTATTTTAATGTTGTTTTATTCGTTGGAAAGTATTTGCTGACTTCCACTGTAGCCTGCACATGCACTTACTCCTCTCTGACCCCTTTCCATGAGTGTTTCAAGACTTGCTTTTCCCTGGCCATGGGAAGGATGGCTGGTGTCCATTTCCAGTTTGCATGGGGTTCTGGCTACTGGTGACCTCAGCTAGTTGCCAGCAGACAATTTTTTTAACTATGTGAAGTAATTGGATTGTGTCCATGTTGTTGTGAGGCCAAGGGTTATTTCGGAGCATAGAAACTGATCTGCATTCTTTAAATGTAGAAGGAGTTAATCTGCACGTTCTGTGGAAGATGATTTGGCAAAGCAGTCTAGAGAAGCTGGCTCTGCAGTATGCATGTGCTGCTCTTCCTCTAAGGAATTGTGAGAACATACTTTAGCAAAGGATTCCTCAGTCTATCGGATACCCCAAAATACATAGTCACAGGAAAAGTTTTTTTTGTTTGTTTCATTCAATATGGATTTATTTATTCTTAAATTTCTGTCCTTCCAAGAAGACAGGAATACCCATCAGTCTGTCCTTTAGTCTGTAAATTTGTATTTTTTTTTTTTAAGAAGGGCTCTCGTATTTTCCTCTCCGCTCTCTCACAGTAGAATTGGGTTATTTCACTTTTCTGATGAACCTATGTTTTCCAGATAAATGAAAACTTAGGGGTTTATTTTTCAAAACTGAAACAGTTGGATTGCCTTTTTGTTTTACTGGGATAAGCATCCGTGATGCTCTGGGGAATGGAGAATGATCTAAAATAAGCCTAGCTGGTTTTTGTTGTTTATCTGTTTCTTTCTGCATCTGTCTTAGTATTTATTGCTACCATCTGCATTTCATTTCAGGTTGTCTAATGTCTTATTCTGCATGTTCTGTGCCTGTTCTCTTTACATAGCCTTGGGCTGTAATATCACCATTTGCCTACAAGAGATCCATTTCTATCTGTAACAAAATGAATTGCATTTCATCTGTGTAATTCATTTCTAATGAATGCCTTGCTCCTCATTAAACAGTGATTTACCTTTGTTTCCCTTTTCTACACTGTCAACGCTAACCATTTTGAGGTCCTGTGGAGAGATACTAATTTGAGAAAGCAAAAGTCAATGCAACTAAGCACTCACAAATGCCATCCTCATTGGCACTTTCAAAAATATTCATGGGACACTTTGTGAAATACAGTTTGCAGGTGGATAAGAAGACTCAAAATGTTTTCTTATTCATAAGCTTTCAATGTACAAAGACAACACTTCAGAGTTTAAATGCATTTCTCCTTGTCAATGTCTTGAACAGGTAGCCAAGCTTGTGAATTTTTTAAGACCTTGTCTGCTCTGCAAGAATTTTATGATCACAGGCACGTTTGGGGAGACTATGCTCTTGATTCCCTGTCCCCTCTGCGCCTTTTCAGGAATATTAAAATACTTCAAACTTATTTTCAGAATAATGTTTTGAAATACTTAATTTTGAGATATGTTAGAATGTTTCAGACTTGAAAATATTTTACTTCAATTTTTTATGAGATTCAAAGATTAATATAACCATTTATTGGCTTTGTGTATCTAAAGGAAAAGGATTAGTACCATTAACTAATGAAACAGGGGTTGTATAGTAATTTTGTTACAGATTTGGTCCATATGCAACTTTTCTGTAATGCCCTTTCAACCTATCCTGCAGCATCCCCTTTTCTAGCCCTGCACTTTGCAGAACAGCAGAATCTGCTGTGTGTGCAAATAGATCTGTACTGATGATAGATAATGGTTAGAATATAGGATGAATTACCAAGTTTACTTTCACTTTAAACCTAAGCAGAATTTGAACTGCAGCAACAGATTATGAATAAGAAAATACTATTGGTAAACGTAATTTAAAGCAATACAGATGGTTTTTAGGAAGTGCTTTTATTTACAGCATCTTTAACTCTTATTTTACTGATAGTACAAGCTACTCATTGACGCTTTTGATCGCTCACATGAATTTAGCTTGGCATTTTACAATATTTATTCTTGTGTTTGGCCAGATTGATCCCCTGTTGAAACTCTAGAATTGTCAGTGGGCATCAGTTGAGTTACACCATGGATTAGTTTGATCATACTGTTATGAGGGGATTGAAGCATGGGAGGTTTTTTTTTTAACTGGTCTTGCCTAAGTCATGTAGTATTTGGAAGTAAGAACGCTGATTAATGTAACAAAATTTTATTTTTAATATACATTTTAGAGGACAAAACTGACCTTGAGAACAGTGTGATGCAGAAGAAAATTAAAATCCCCAAACTCTCTCTCAATCACGTAGAAGAAGCTGGGGAGGTTACAGATTATGGGGAAGAAGATGTGGAGCTTAGACACAGTAAGGTACTGAAGTCTTTCCTTTTTTTTTTTTCTTTTTTTTTTTTTTTTTAAGTGCTTGGGGCATATACAGACGTCATAGCTTAAGAATCCCAGGCCTGCTTTTGATCCCCTTAAAACACTGTGTTTGGTGAAATTGGGTCAAATTCTGTGGGGGGGTGGGGTACGGGTTTTCAAAACCTGATTTATGTGCAATCGAACATTTTCTTGTTTATACCGTCTGCACAGTTTAACTGCCATTTGAGATTTTTAGAACAATGCTTTAAAAGTCACCAGTTACATGAATGTCGAGCAGCTGTTCTCAGTGGCACTTGTGACCTATCGCGCGCTGCTTGTTTGGAGTTCGAAGGGGTGCTCTGAGACTTCCCAACTACAGCAGTGGGTGAGAAGACAAATTGATAGGATTGCATCCCTCCATTATAACTGCCAGTTGCCTTTCTAGGTCCAGATGCCAGAAACCCACTAAGTAAATGTATTTATTTTTTGATACCAAATGATTCTTTAAAAGTCTGCCAACCTTCAGAATAAAATACTGTTCTGTGGCTTCATGTGTTTTGCAGCTGCAGGAATGATACTAGTACATTTCTTTATGGTGGGCCAGCTTTTTTTGGTTTTTTTTTTTTTCCATTTTTGGAACACGCGTGGAGCAGGCGTAACATCAAATAATCTCATTTTCTGCCACATTACTCATGGATATTGTGGTATGGGAATTGATAGTGTCAGCTTCTTGTCTCCTAACCTATGAGCTACGTTTGCTTTCCTTGCAGTTGCTTGGAAGTTCAAATGCTTTTTCCATATTTGGCCAATAAAATGTAGTGACTTTAACCCGTACTGTCACATTTTAATACCAGTATCCAGGCCCCAGAAAACAGGTGTGCTTTAATTTTTAGGGTTTGTGCAGATGACTGAAGGTAAATTTCTGCTGAGAGTTCAAAGGAGATGAAGCCTCTGCAATGCAGTACTACTATAGAAGGAATCAGTTGATCAGGAAGATGAGACTGGATGATATATTCTGTCTCCAACTTCTGTGTTTTCAATTCCCTTTTAACATTTGCTGATAGTGTTAACTCAGTCATTTGCATTAGGCAGTTGGGTGAATGTGCTAGAGGAATAGTCAGAGAAGGTTTTGCCTCCCAAAGTGTGGGAAGGACAAGCCCTCTGTTCACAAAACAGCTTTGTACGGTATGCTGCTTTCATCTCTGATGTCATTACAGGCGACAAACGTAGCATGTAGTTGCTTCTTTCTCTTACTTATCAGAAAATCAGTTGCTGTCGGAAATCTAAATGCTAGGGGTAAACTTTAAAGGAAGAGAGATCGAGATCCACTTTTTTTTGAAAAAGGAATTAATTATCTTTGTATATGGAATCAAGTGATAATCACTCAGCTTGCAAGTGTTGCACAAATGCGGAAAGAAAGGCCTTTAACTGCCTCAGAAGTTTGTATATACATTTAGCTGAATTACGCGTGCATGATAGTTATGATGTATATCTACAAGAATCCGTTAGGCAAAGTATTTTTGCAGGCAGGCTTTGTTGTGCTTTTTTTGGAAAACAAGAATATTAACGGTTCCCAATTTGTATTACATCTTACTGCTCTCCTAATTTATTTATTTTTTATTGTAACATGCAGAGACAAGATGGGAGGAAACAAAGTGAAGGTACACACAAAAGCATTGAAGCAGTTGTTGCTCGCCTTGAGAAACAGAATGGGATGAGCCTCAGTAATACTTCCAGCCCTGAGGAGGCTTTTATGGAGACTTCGGAAAGCATGAACAACATGGACGATGCTGTAGTTCCTCGGATTCTGTATGAAGAATTGCTGAGGAGTTACCAACAGCAACAAGAAGAAATGAGACACATTCAACAGGAGCTTGAGAGAACACGGAGACAGCTTGTGCAACAGGCAAAGAAGCTAAAGGAGTATGGGGCACTCGTGTCAGAAATGAAAGAGCTCAGAGACTTGAACAGGAGACTCCAGGATGTACTGCTTCTAAGACTAGGTAGTGGTAAGTGCCGGACTTAAATGGGACTAGTTTTAATGAATTTTGCAAGTGTGATCAATAGTAATGGAAACGTATTTGAAGAATAGCAGTGGTTGTTAAACTGGACATTGAATGTTAAAAGGGTTTTCTGCTATGGCTGTACAATCTGTGTTGAATTTGTATGCTATGTACGTCTGGGTTTTCTTTAATGATAGTAGAGATCTTTGTGCTGGTATGGTTCAATCAGAGTTCCGTTTTAAGTAGCTGTATTTTAAAGAGTCTCTGACCTTCCAGTATATGCTGAAAAAGATAATAAAGCGTCATCTGCAAAATATACCAATATGTTCCAGTTTAAAAAGAAAAAAAAAGAAAGAAAAGGCAGTGGAATGAATATTTGGGCTAAAACTATTTTATTCTTTTCAGTTAGGGATTTTGTTTATTGTTATGTGACTGTTACCTTCCGTTTTTCTGCCCCCTCTTCCCATTAGTAGCTCATTAGAATGTGATATATTCCTGAACTTCGTAGCAGTGGCTTTAAACAGCCGTGCTGTTTGAAAAAATAATGGATTGTTGACGAATAATTAAAAAAGCTTTTTATATTAGTGTCCCGTTTATCAGCACTTGTTACAAAATGCAGGTTTGTGTAATTTGGATTTAAATTTTAAATATCGTGAGTCAGTTGCTCATTTGTTTTGGTTTATAACAATTATTTAACCATTGTGTTGGAATAAATGGGAAAAAAGACAAAATAAAAAGTTCATCCTTTTCATTGAAGATGGTACCCTTGGAATACCTTCAAATACTTTACTAATTTATATTTATTTGCTATTAGAATGTGGTACTGCTATGTTGAAGATTTGCTCAGTGACTGAAACTTGGTTAAAATTTGTGCATCCAAACTTAGCATGCTGTTTCTTATGTCTGCCTTTGTGTATCTGGAAACTTAATTTTTGCATGTAAATTGGATATTGGCTCTTCTACTTGACTTGAACGAGTGCATGTAATTTGCATGTGGGTCTGAGTTACATTCACGTACAAACCTGAACCCGAGAGAGCATGCGCCTGTGCTGTAGCATGTGTTAAGGTGTGCCCGCAAGTTTGGAGCCAGGCTCTTGAAGTAGCATCTGATGATTTAAACTGGGTGTTTGGTTGTGAATGCTCGTCATTGTTACACTGTGCATAATTAAAATGTCATTACTTATTATAAACATTCTAGTTAACTTTTTAAATAAAATTAAATAGGCAAAGTTTCCACAGTCTGAAAAACACGATGTGGTGGGCAGTAGATTTCTCTGAGCTTTCTAAAATTTTCCTTGGATGGAAAGATGTTTCTTCATCTGCAAGTAGTTAGCTGGAATTTATGTGAATGGAGCACCAGCCAGATGTTAGTAGGCAATGGGGCTGAACAGCGTAAAATACCAATTTAGTTGGTAGACTTGACAGCAGTTTGAGTGGTGAGACCAGCAATGAAATGAAGACAGCTTCTGAATTCTGTCTCATTTCTTTCACTTTAAGAAAGAAGGGATGCATTTTTTACTTGAGCTGAATCAAGAAAGCTTAGAAGGAAAAAAAAAAAAAACCCAACAACAAAACACCCAAAACCTCTTGGAAAAAATGCTGGATCTTCTCTAAATACTGGACTTGAATTTCCATTGTATCAGTCTGGCACCTGCTTTACAACTGAAAATAAATCTCGATTACATTGAAGACAAGTTCTTTTAGTTTAATCACATACCTGGACAAATATGAATTATACATAACAACATCAGATTTTTTTGGAAGTTATTACTTGTATGGAACTTTCCACAGATGACAAAGGTAGAATTTGGCCCTATGGGCTGTGTCCTTCACAGGGTGTGTGTTTCCTAAGACTCGGTGTATCAACCACTGATAACTTGCCTTTCCTTGTAGCCTCATTCACAGTTGAGAAACAAACAGATTCTAGAAAGATCAGTACAAAATTTATGAATGATTAGAAAGGGAGACATCTTCAGCAAATTATAAATTAGGGAGTCTGATGACAGTATGAAAAAGTGCTACTTTTAATCAAGAAACAGATATGTAAAGACTTCTTTAGTCTTCCTTACTTTTCCAGCTTATAAATGAGGTATGTTTGGGTGTGTGAATAATCTGTGAAAATTGTTCGGAAAATGGATTACATCCTGAATTCATCTTCAGTTGTTGCAGCAATCTCTTAAACCTAGGGTTTCAAATTACATGTAATTTATGTTATGCTGCACTTCTAGCAGGCTGGACTTAATGCAAACTAATTGCATTTCTGTTTCACCTTAGAGACTTCTGATTTCTTTGCATGAGATGACAGCTGTTTTGTGCTGATGAATTGCAGCTGTGGGAAACGCGTGCCTGTTGCCATTTTAAACTTGCAGATCAAATATAGAACAGCCTCTTGAGCTAATGTTCAGTCAAGTATTCAGTCTCCTAATTTACCATCACTGTGTTGCTTTCAGCGAGAAGCTAGAAGTCAATGTATTCTGCTTTAGACCTAGGCCTTCATCTCTGTTACTGAACTCAAGCCGCTCTTGTGGGAAGAGTGAGGTTCTTAATCTTCCACATGGTGACACTGAATCGCTCTTTGTTTTAAAAGAGCCTTGAAAGCAGATGTGGCAAATGACAGTAGTGAAATCAGTACTGATCCATGGGGATATATTGAAGCTTCTTTATGATTTCGATACGCTGTTGCCCAACAGATCCCTTCCTGGAGGAGGCAGGTGTTTGACCAGGGCTCTAGGGACCAAAGCAGTGGGGGAACACGATGACTGTTGTGGAAGAGGTTATGGTATCCCCTGCCTAAGCTCCCTGAAGAATGTGTGCAATGAAAGCCTCTTTTTCCTTGCCTACTTTGGGATCAGAAAGCCCTGCGATTGTAGGCCTTCGCAGTTTGTCTTTATTCTGTTGCACCCAAAAACACACTAATTTGCCCTGTTTTTATCAATAGAGAGTAAGGTGATTTAGAGAATTAAATCACTGACTCTTCCCTGTAGGCCTAACTTTAAATAGTCCTTGGATTGCAAAAGATAAGAATTTCAATAACTTCTTAAAAAAATTGTCTCCAGGCTAAGATCTGTGCAGTTTGCTATGGTTGTATATGGTCAGAAGTAGTGAAGTTGTATCAGGGATAACGTTTGGGTGTTGTTCGCTCCCTGATAGATACTGCATTTTCATGTTGTATTGCTAAGAATTAGTGTTGCTCTAAAGTCAGGGAGTATATTCATTTCATTCATTCACATTCGTTCATCAACACACACAGCGCCCCAGGCAGTTATTTTTAATCCCAGTTTAATTTCAGTGATCCAGTTTACAGTGTCTTGGGACTGACACCAGGATAGGGAGAATGAATTTGTGTCTTACCATATGTATGCAATTACTTTTATTCAGCTTTTCTAGATTTGTGCAGCTTTTTGATGTAAAAAAAAAAGCCTAAGGTGTCTATCCAGTACGAGTACAGGAAGTACCATATATATGATGTTTCCCCTTCTCAGACTCCTGTTGTTTTTGTTCAAATTCTGGTAGACCATGTGGAAAAACAGCTTGCTGCTTTCAAATGTATATTGACCACTTTATAATTTAATTTATTTTGGCTTATTTACTAATTTTTGAGTAGCTTGTAGCCTAAGATGCATTTTTGAGGAAAAGAGGTGATGAAGGGAAGCCTTCTACCTCTTCATACTACATTTGAAGTTGCTGGCCTCTCAGATATTATGGAAACTTCACAGTCAGAAGGAGAAAGATTTTGCAATAAAACAGTTGTTTCCTTTTTGCGTTCTGAAGAATTGTCTTTTTTTTTTTAATGATTCTTATGACATAAGTACTATCATTGTTAATTAAGCCTTTAGATAGAGGCATATATTTTTGTATGTCCCATTCATCATCTTTAAAGATGCAGAGCACGAGAGCTACAGAGAGAGGAAACTTCTTAGTGTATGGTGTGTGGTACACAACTCCCATTAGCAGTAAGGCAATAATGTGGGTTGCATGTCTAATTCACAACATGCCGGGTTGAAAATACAGTCTTTAGTAGTTGGTGAAAGTAGCTGTGAAGACTACCTAGATAGAGGCAGATTTCTGTTTGGGAAGAAAAAAAGAGTAGAATATAAAAGAAGACGTTAAAGCCTTTCTGTTGGTGACTTCTAAGCAAGCAGTAAAACATGAATTGCAATAGAGGTTTTTCTGACCTATGAGAACTATGGTTATTGTGGACTTTAATCAGCTGTTTTTCTTGGGGAACTCTGGAAACCAAATCCAAGCTGTGTCAATACATGACTATAAACAAAAGAGTAAAAGACTTCTAAATAGCAGCTAGTAAAAGTGTTTAAACAGAGATAAATGTTTCCTTCTAGGGAGAAAGTGGTTGGACTTTGGTGTGTTCCTCAAAGTGACTTTCAAATTATAAGAAGACTCAAAATAGCACTTTGTTGAAGAATGTGTTCTTAAAGTAACAGCTAAAAGATCACTTCTTAAGTTCACACTGGCAATTACATCACTGTATCTTGCTTGTTCAGGTGTGCCCACGCTGAGATGTGTGCAGACTTTGGGTGGTTTAATTAGTCCAGGTCTTTCCCCCAGTCTGAATCAGTTTAGCAGTCTCAAGTATAGAAAGTTTAATTCGTCTTGGTCGTGCCATTGCATATACATGATAGCAGAGGTGCTGATTAAGATTACTATGAAATTATAATGCAAATGGTATGGGGTTTGTGTTTTCTGTATTTGCACCATGCTTGCGTTGCATATGGCTCTTCAGACACTCTGTTGCGGCACTGCAGCATGGGGTTGTCTAAGTTGCCAAGACAACTTTTAGTTGTTGCTGAGTGTCAAGTGGCAAGTCAGCTAAGAACATTTAGCTAGCTATGTAGGTGTAGAATAAGCTATAGGATAAATGTCAAATGCTGATATCGTTGTATAATAATCTGTAAATGAAACTGCGCAAAGTAGGAGGAATGAATACTTGTTCCAGGTGCAGGAACTATTTAAGATACGTGACTCAAGACATGAGTTCTGGTGCCAGCTTGACTTGCAGAGTTAGATCAATTCAGGGCTTGGTCTATGTGTACAAATACTGAGGAGGGATGCTGAACCATGACAGTGACCTGATTATTGAATTGTCATTTGTTGAAGGTGTCAAGGTTGGGCTACAGAGTGCTGCAGCGCTCTCAGCACCAACCTGGTACAATATAGTTGTTACAAGTGGGTGAGTTTATCCTTATAGTTCTTGGAAGTGGCTGATTACCGTGGTGTCCAGGGTCTAAGCTGGCAACTTTGCTGTGTTAACGAACCACTGCCCCTGCGTGGAACTTCAGTGACTGCTGAAGCTTCTCATGAGCCCAGAGACAGACATCAAGAGACAATAATAGGCTGGGGGCTGTAGCCTGTTCCTGATTCATTCTGGTCTAACCGCTGCAATGAATGGAATAATGAAATCCAGTTCACAAATTATTTTAATTTGTTCTTTTCTGCCTTTTTAGGAACACTTTATAAGTTTGGTCTGGAAAAGAAAAGTTGATGACTGACAAAATAATTATCCTCCTTTGAAGCCTCAAACATATGCTTAGTAGTATTCTGTTGTTTAATCTGTGCTTAATTTTTGTTGATTACATTAAAAATAAAAATCAGCGTGTTGGATGGATTGGACAATCAAAATTCTAATTTATGTGGGTTTTTTTAACCTTGGATACTCTTTCTATGCATGATACTTTAGCATAAGTAGCCTAAGTCTGTTTCCTTTATAGCATTTCTGTAGATCCTCACTATTTTTAATATACATCTGTTATATCTGCTTAATTTTTGTTGATTACATTAAAAATAAAAATCAGCGTGTTGGATGGATTGGACAATCAAAATTCTAATTTATGTGGGTTTTTTTAACCTTGGATACTCTTTCTATGCATGATACTTTAGCATAAGTAGCCTAAGTCTGTTTCCTTTATAGCATTTCTGTAGATCCTCACTATTTTTAATATACATCTGTTATATCAAGAGACTTCAAATTTCTCTAAAATTTGTAATTCTGTATGGATAATTTATATAATTATCACAGTCTTATGCAGGTCTGTTTCCTTTATAGCATTTCTGTAGATCCTCACTATTTTTAATATACCTCTGTTATATCTAAAGAGACTTCAAATTTCTATAAAATTTGTAATTCTGTATGGATAATTTATATAATTATCACAGTAAATTATGCAGGCTTCTATGCAACTATATAGTAATTTTTATTTGAAGAATTACTATTGTTGCTTTTGGTGTATAATTTCAGTGTCATTTTAACATAATTTCCGTAGTGTGCATTGAAGCAATCTTACCCATATCTGTAATTGTCCATATCCTTTAAGAATAAAAATAAACATTAAAATTAAACATTTTAATATTTATAAAGCAGAGTTACTTATCCTGCTTTTATTTATTGACGTCCGGAAGTAGGATTTTGGTTTAGACTCCTTCTAACTTTGAAATGAACATGCCTAATGTGTTATTTTATGCTAACCATGGGTGATGAAGTGATTGATTTCATGTTCTCTGGGATAGCAGACAGCTCTCTTTTCTTAACTGTCTAGGACCTGCCATTGAGCTTGAAAAAGTAAAACCAGAATCAATTGAGCCTGAACCTGAGGTACAGAAGACCTTCAGTGAGGAAGCAAATACATCAACGTACTATCCTGCCCCTGTTCCAGTAATGGACAAGTATATTCTCGAGAATGGAAAGGTATTTTAAATTAAATATAGCATGAATAGTTTGTAAATGTCCATCAGGTGATTTTCTTGTGGAATTTTCATGATACCGGGGGTTTTGCATGGTAGCAGCTTATACAGACTTCCTCAGTTTTTATAAAGGCATGCTGTTATGCTGAGGAAAATTACAAAATTACACAAATAAGAACAGCACAGAAAATCATCCTCAGTAATGAGAGCATTGAATGCTGTGTAACACAAGGAATATAATTATTAAATATGCATGCACAAGCACATTGGCGTAGTCTTCAATTGGTGACATACATAAATCTACCAAATACAAACCAGTCAGTAACCCACATTATAAGGTTACATTAGTCTACCTAGAAACACTTTTTCCTAAAAGGTCTTTAACGTTTTTAGTGTGCTGTAGTCCTATTGCAGAGAAGCCTTCAAGTTTTGGTTGGATTGGAGTCCAGTAGATAACGATGAACCCTGGGGTTCAATGAAAATGGGCTCCCTTGGATCTGGTAGGCGTGTTGCCACTGAATTGAGCTGATGTAGTGCTACTTTACAGATACTTTTATAAAGTTGGTGAAATACCATCTAGCTACAGTTTGCCAGAACCTGACTGATAGTTTTTTCAGACTTCAGCATGTTTAACACATTGTCCACTCATCTACTGAGGCCTGCTTTTATAGCTGTTGCCATTATCATTAAATGAACATTGTATTTCTTTTACAAAACTGTATGTCCTTCAGAATTGCTTATGCAGATCCTGTTTCTTAGGATATGTATGCATTCAGTACCATAACCTGAGAACCTTTTAGGAGGAAATGTCCATTTCAGCTTTGGCATACAGTGGAATTACTGGTGGAATAGCATGAAATATTACACTTTCAGATCTGTGTTACAAGATTGACTGTACAAGTGTCTGTCATTCTTGAAGATGAATTTGACGTAATTGTTGAGGACAAAATGTATGTGAAAAATAGTATAATCTTGACAGTTTGACAGGTATTTGGTTCAGATAGCTTTTCTTGCCTAATATACTTTAAATATGTCATTTGCTTGTATATTTTGTGTATATTTGTGCAATGAAAACTTAGCATATATTACTGTGAGAGTTTGGTTTACCTCCTTTTTTTCTGCTTAAGACCTGTGGGATAGGGCACATCCTTTAGTATTTGTATGCAGCTTTTCCTGCACCTTTATTTCATCTGCCAGCTTCTTGGCACTTCTGTTGCTGAATTTTTCTCTGTCTTTACAGATATTAATATCTCTTTAACCTTCTTTTTGTAATTTTGGTCTGTCTTTAAGTTTGCCTATTTATTGGGGCTTCAGCCAGCTCAGATGCCAGAAATGTGAAGTAATAATGTATTTAGAGTGTTGGAGGGTGGTTTTTTTCAGTTTTCCTTATTTATGCCTTTTTTCCATTACTTCTTTATTGACATGCACCACTAGAGTAGTTGAAATACTTTTTTAGAAATCTTGCCTTTTGTGGCATCGGATTTGATCTTAGTAGGATTCTTTCAAAGCAGATAAATCTCTCCCTTCCAGAGGGAGAACAGAGTTACCAAAAAAGAGCCTATGACATTCATAGGCTTATGAGATTTTCTTTTAAAGAAAAGAAGGAGGGAAAAAAAAAAAAAGGAAGGGGGGGAAAAAAAAGAGTTCATCTTCTCAGATACATTTTAGATGTATTGCACGTTAGCACAGTTATGGTGGTGAGCATTACTTTGAATTTGCTGTTGTTTCAGTTGCGTTGTGCTTGAAGGTTGATCCTGCAGTTGCTGAAATTTGGGGTAAAGTTCCCATTGATTTCATCAAGCCAAGGGTCTGGCCCATGGGGCAGCTCTTCCAGCAAGAAGGAAGTGGCTTCTGAATCTGGAGTACAGTAAGCTTCCCATAGCTTTGGGAATAATAGGAAACAGTACCGAGCCTGTTTTACAGAGAGGTAAACTGAGACATGGACAGATTAAATTCGTTGCTGTAACAGTGCTAGAAATAGAAAAAGGGAGACATAAGATTTCTATGTCTGTGGCTGTCTGTCACGTAGTTGCTGTTACCATAGGTGTTTCATACCAGTGATAACTTTTTTTAATAAATGAAGCATGTTCAAAGAAGAGATGATCTGTCTGAAACATAAATATTAAAAATATTTGCTGTAACTTGTTGTCTTCTTTTAACTAACTTAAAGCTAATGAATAATGTAGTAGCTTAAGAGACTAAATAATCTTTAGCAAAGGCAAACCCTAATTTTGGCAGAGTGGAATCAGATTTTTGATCAAATACAGCAGTCTCTACAACTAATGTAATACAGACATCCAAAATTTGGCATGTCACAATTTTCCTAATCTTAGTTATTTTCGAAGTAACTTACACTCATTTTTACAGATAACTTTTCCAAGATCAAAACGGAAATAACTGAATTATAACTGATGTGATTGTTTTCTGAGCACAGACTGCTCACTCTGATTGAAATTATCTTACAAAATATGTAGAGCACCAAAAGAGTGAATTTTTTAAAGCAATTATGAAGAGGCTTGACAACAGAGAAGGAAGGAAAAAAAGGGGTGTTCATGTTGTGCTTATTACTAGTTCCATTTCTGTCCATTACGAAATCTAAATACCATGTGGACTTGTGAAAAGCTTCGTAGAATCCCTTTAGCGTAGAAGATTCTGCAGGAGAGGCAGCTTGCTTTATGGTTTTATACTTTGAGGAAGTTAAACTTTTCATTTGTTTTTTATAAGGTAGCTGGTAGCCAAACCATTCATATTCTTCTATTAGTGTTTTTAAACAAATAGTTGCTTTTGAAGGATGCTGTTGTAATAAAAAATTTCTTCGGGTTATAGCCCTCAAATAATTAAAAAGTTTTTAAACAAATAGTTGCTTTTGAAGGATGCTGTTGTAATAAAAAATTTCTTCGGGTTATAGCCCTCATTAATAATTAAAGCAGGTTTCCATTTAAAGGAAAAATGGTATTTTGTTGAATACAAAATTCAACAGCAGTAAAATTATTGTTATATAAAATTTTACAGTAGCTTTGTCCAATTTTCATTACATTTAATGGGACTTATGTGATACTGTTCAGATCTGTATGGGTAGCAGGCACATTTTATGGAATGCCACATGAAAGGAGTAAAAACACGAACAACTAAGAGCAAAACAATTAAGGCAAACAGAGTCTCCTAATGTAGTTTTGCCATAGAGTTTTGTTCACAGTTTTTGGGTTTTTTTTTTTTTTAAGTCGTGAGGAGACAGTAAGCTTTTATTAAAGTATTAGTGTTACAGAAAGAACCTCCACTTGATCAGATTTTATGAAATGTACATTTTGGATATAACAATCCAATTGATACATATTTTTGGTATTTTGCACTTCTACAGAATTATCTGAAAGTAAGTTCTGTCTTCTTCCTTTCCAGTGCAGTGAACTCTTATCAGTAATTAGAATAGCTAGGTCACGCACTAGCTTGTCATGGATGATGAGCACGTGCGGGTCCAACTGAATGAAGTTCATCACCATGTGAACAAAGCTTTCTGTGTGCAGAGGTAGTTCAGGTGTCTGCACTGTACTCCAGGAATTAGGAGCATGGACAGACACAGTAAAAAGTATTCTCCGTGGTTCTGCACAGGGCCAGTGTTTGCATCCAGTTGGGCTTACTGGTTGCACTCATGTCAGACCTGTGCTGATTACTAGTGGAGTTATTTTCCTTGCTGTTGCTTGATGAAGGTGTCCTGGTTATCAGGAGAACTATCAGCTCAAACATATGTAGTGCCAGCATAAGGATGGTACTCAGATTCTCGTCCTGCATTCATCTTAAGTCTGGAGCACTGGGAATCTTGGGGTAGAGATACGGTGTAGCTCTGTGGGAGTCAACCCAGCATAGGCAATGCTGAGCAAGGCTAATAAGCACAACCAGACTCGAGCACCTTGCTTTTGGGGACTACAATGGCTTCACACTGCATTTCCCAGTACCCATATTATCCTGCTTTACTACTTCAATCAAATATCTCTGCTCCCCATTGTCTGGATAATGGGAAGTTTATCATGTTGCAGCAATGGGTCATTGCCTTACCACAAAACAGTATTCACCTGGATTGATTGATCGTACATGATAGGCAAACTTCATGATAGAACTGGAAGTTTTACAAAGCTTCCAAACTCTCTTGGCTGATACTGAAATTGGAGCTCTCAAAATCCCTTCTCCCCTTCTAGTACTTTGAACAATCAGGCTGAGTTTTGCCAACAGGTATAGGATATGACTTAGGAAGTATTTCCCTCTCTACTGCCTCCGAAATATGCTTTGGGTAAAGTCTGTTTCAGCCAAAGGGAAGCTTTCATATTAATGACAATGTTTCATCTTGCTCCTGAATTAGGCTGGTGCAACTGCTTGGTTTATATGCTGTGCATATCTTTATAATACTGGATGTGTTTACTGTTTCCTTCTATCTCTGTTCTTGACCGTAGTCTTTCAGGAGATAGGCTATGCAGGGGGAAAAAGTAGAGAGTAAGAAGAATTGAATACAAAAAGGAAGAGGAACTATATTATATAAGAGGTTGACTTGAACTCCCTGACCCACAAAGTTGGAGAAGTTTCAGAATTAGGCAAAATGGATTTGTTCAGCCCTAATTACTGTTACTATAGTACCTAATATTAATGTTCCTACAGCACTTGGATACTGTTGTGTGCTACATACCATAGATAAGTTGTTATTATTACTACCTTCTAGGTCCATCTTGGCAGTGGAATTTGGGTAGATGAGGAGAAATGGCACCAGCTGCAAGTAACACAAGGAGATTCAAAGTATACAAAAAATCTAGCGGTTATGATTTGGGGAACAGATGTTCTCAAGAACAGAAGTGTCACAGGAGTTGCAACCAAAAAAAAGAAAGATGCCGTTCCCAAGCCACCTCTCTCACCTCACAAATTAAGCATTGTCAGAGGTAGGTTATTTGAAAACTTTTGCTTCCTGCTTTGGAGTTTAACTATTAATCATTGAGTTGAAAGATGCTTCTTTTCAGCTCATATAAAATTAACTGATTAAAAACTGTAATTCAAATTGCTATTGCATTGTGAAGTGCATACATATCCAGGAAAAGTAAAACACATTGCAATAGCTGTGCACAGTGCAGGCCTTCACAGCTGAAGAGTTGTACTTCAGCAAGGTTCAAGAAGATCATCACTTTGAACCACTTGCAGGACAGGACTCTGAGCCTGGAGAACAACATGTTGTTCTGAAATTCATTCATAATACAGTGGGGTTTTTTAAAATGCATATATTCCTTTTAACAAGCCTGAGAGTAGCTTTACGACATTCTTTCATCCAGAATGTAACCAACTCTGGCATGAGGCACAGAAACCATTATAGCTGTGACTATAAAAATACGCATACCTTCCAAGGCGAGAAAGAATAGTTTTACCCTTTTAAGTGGAGAAAATGGAAATAGTAAAAATTAATTGTTGCACTTGAATTGGAATTTGAACAGGAAGTGTAAATCGCTGACCTATCTGGCAGGAAAAATTACAATGACACTTTCAATAACTGCAAGCCTGAGTCCATGTGTGGACTCCTTTGAGAGAGAGAAGGCCTTCTCCTTTATTTAAAGTGAATAGTGAATTTCAGTCCCTTTGTGTCATCATGCTTGTGTTTTGCATTCATTTCTGTCTCTCTTGGTATTTCAGGCTTCTTTTTAAGTCAGAACTGAATCCGTTCCTCATGGAATACATACCGAAATTGGATTTTTAGGTTTTGTGTCCATACGAAATTGCAGTAGGGCTGAAAGAAATCTCCCTGTTTGATTGAACTCCATTATTCTGCATTTCCTGTTCTTAGTTGCTATGTGCTCTTAACTCTGAACTCTTTAAGAGATGTTGTAATCTTCCTTACAAGTACCACGTTTTGGAAGTAGGAAATATGATTCCTCTTTGAGTGTGTGTCTGTGTTGTGTGGGGAAAAGTTGGAAACTGATCTTCATGCTGTCATCTTTCTTAGTTTGTAAGAAATGAGTAAAAGACATGGTGTTTTTTACTAATCTGCTTTAAGAATGTATGTGGAAGGGCAAGCTGTTCCATACTGATGTTCTAGTTCTGGCTGGGACCTTTTGGTACAATCCGAACACGTGTAGCAAAGTAATGATGTACGGGCCACGTAAGGAATCCACTCTGTGGCTGTGGCTACCCTTGTCAGCTCCTAATGGGAAGGAGAATTGGTTACCCAGATGCACACTTAGAAACATGCAGTAAAAAGGGGTCATTGTTCACTGGCCCATTGCAAAGAGCTTTCTAGTTTTCCTGCTTGAGGCTGTTGTTCCTCAGCACTGCTGGCAAGGTTGCTTATGTGAGAATTTCCTCCTCTACTTCAGTCAGGGCCAGTCTGTGTTGCTTGAGCCATTTAAATGATAGCTTTCTTCTAACTCCCCTTGTTTTGACTACAGTGAGTTTGGGAGTATGCTCCAACAGGTACATGGTGAAAGGCAGATGGGGCCCTTCCCTTTCTTCTCTTCCATACCTTTACACACTCCAGCAATTCAGCTCTTCCCTATTTCCTCGTTTTTCTGTGTTTTCTGTCATACTTCTGCTTCCAGCCTCAACCCTCATTTGAATTGTACTGTTCCACGCCCTGGTTTTCCATGTTCCTCTTTCCAGTGTTTATTTCACCTTGTCTTTGACTCCCTTTTTGTTAGACTCAAGACCGTACAATCTCCTCTTGAACCAGTTAAACTGCATGGCCAATGTTTTAGGTGGCAGCAGACAGACTTCCTGTATCAGCGGTACTGGGTAGCACATAACCATGATTTTCCACATTGTCGTGTCCTTTGCATTTGCGTCAATGTTAGCAGGCCTTGCCCCATCATGCCAGCAGTGTTTCCTGGAAAGCTGGAAGTGATCAAATAAGTTGTTAATACATTGTGGAGAAGAAAACAAAAACAAAACAAAGAGTAGCAAGTGGAGAAACGGTGAAATGCGAGGGAATTAGAGTTTACATGGCCAATGACTTGGATCAGGCATCACAGAAAGAAGTAAAGCTCCTTGTTAGCCTTTGAGGTCTACTTGAATCTTTGGTCCAGTCAGAAGTACGAAGGGGTATCTATGCTCCTCTAAAGCCAAAAGACAAAGAAGAAGCAGAACCCCCAAATCACTCTATGGAGCCCCTAAGCCAGCATCCTTGTGTGACTACTAAACTACTATCGCTGCAGCCCCTCATAGAAATGGAAGAGATGGAAGAGGAAGAACTGTGATGATCATGGATCTGTCTGGGTCACGCTGACTTTAAGAATCACAGCTGATGCATGAGTTCTGTCAAGTGATTCTTTGCTTGACATTGTGGCTAAACTAATAACATAGCCTGTATTTTACTGGAAGTTCACCGTACTGGGTGTATCTGCCACAACCTGGGAGTATTCCTGAGATTGCTGCAGTCCAAGTTTATGTCCTACGAACACACTGGGTTTCTTCAGGTTCTCGGTGACATGCCTCTTCTTAGGTGCCATATTTCAAATCATAGTTTACTGGTGATCAGCATTTCAGCTGTCAGGCTGCATGCTGATTCATTTTATTTATTTTATATTCAGTACATCTTACAACATAAAATTCACATTGTTTTAGATGTTCTTATCATTCTGTGGACACAGGCTAACTTATTTAAAATAGATTTTTGAACGACAGCATTAGCTCTTAATGTGTCTGATATCTCTAGCTTCTTAAAAATCCCTACTGTGTAGTATGTAATAAAGAATTATAAAAAGTATGATGCATGAGCACTGTTACAAACCTTGTTAATGCAAAATAGCCTTTTATAAAACTTCTGAGAGGTTTCAAAATGAACTACAAAGCATGCATAGTACTAAATTTTCATAACTTTTTAATATGACGCATTAGAAATGTTATAAACCATGTTAATTAAGCGATAATCTCTATGGCTTTCTGTATATGAAGCAATAAACGGCTACTGGAATAGATTACTAGCCAAAGCAGAACAGGGTTTGTTTTATCAATGTGGGAAGCCTACACAAAAAAATACACTGTTCTGGTTATGAAAATAAAAAACCAAAACCTGTCTGTCTCAGAGGAGTTGGATGTGTTGCAGCACTTCTGATTTCAGTAACCTCTGCAGGATTCTGGCACCGAACTACCAACTCTGTGGAGCAGAATTGTCTCGACTTTCATTGCCCTCATTGCTTTTGCAGTTACTACTGTTGCTTGCTTTTTGTATTCCAGTTAAGTTCACAAAGTGCGTTGTGCAAACATGCAAGAAGATGGCTCTCGCCCTGAGTAATCTACTAATAAAAGCGAAATACGCCCAGGGACAGGGCGTCTGATAAAGATGCAGACATTAATGTATGTTGTACAGATTTAAAAAATAAAATAAATCAGTTAATGTCTTCTCCTACTGGTTACTGCTTCTCTTCCTAACCTTTATCATTTACTTACTATCTTGAAGGTGTGAAGGTAGGAGTGACTCACAGGGAACTGTAGATAACAACAGTTCTATTGAGACCGTTCACCTGGGAGAAGATTCTAAATCTGCTGTGGAGATACGGACAAATACAAGAGTTAGGCAGGCAAGACTGACACTGTAAAAGGTTGGATTTAGCCTTGTTTCTGTATAGAAAGCCTATTAATGTAGTCACAGCATAACTGGAAGTTGGTCATGCCAAAGATTCAAGCCTGGTGAAAAATCTTGTCTTTAACAAGATAGCCAGTGAATCAATGCAAGCTGCTGTTGTCTTGCAACAAATATACACAGTGCTTACTCAGTGCTGTCTCTTGAGTAGTTAGCCCAACACAGGGCTATATTCTATTCTAAAAATATCCTAATGGCTCTTTCCTTTTTTTTTTTTTTCTCCCCAGAATGTTTGTATGATAGAATAGCACAAGAAACTGTGGATGAAACTGAAATTGCACAGAGACTCTCCAAAGTCAACAAGTACATCTGTGAAAAAATCATGGATATCAATAAATCATGTAAAAATGAAGAAAGGAGGGAAAGTGCAAAGTACAATTTGCAATAAATTTTGGATTTTTAATAAAGTCTTAGTGTTTTACTTAAGTGTTGTTTTTTTATTTGTGTGGCATTTTTGCTGATGGGAGAAGCTTGAAGCTTTGAAGCGTTACTCTCCTGTAACTGATTCATTTTGAGCGGTTCTGTCAAAAGCCTTTCTATGGTGTAACCTGCTTTTAAATAATGTAAGATATATTGTAAGTTCACTCACAATGAAACAGTGACTTTTCAAAGGTTTTTCCAATAAGTTGCAGTATGTTACCTGCAGTTCTGTATATAGGTTGTAATTCTGCGAACACCAACCCATTTTGCCTACATTTTGTTTTACTGGAGTTAGTGGATCTAGGTGCAGTAAACACCTGCTTAGAAGGAAGAACTGTACAAAATCCACTTTGCCATTGAAAAGGGTTTTATTGTATTTTACAAAGTGTTTTCCTGAACTGAAATTTTATTCGTTTGTTTTTATAAATCTTTGTTTTGATCCCTAACAATATATTTGGTCAAAAACACACAAAGAATGCTTCTTTTTCACTTACTATCTTGTAGTTAGATCACTACATTGCCGTCATAGTTTTAAAAAACCAAACAACAGAACCCAAAGCTGTAAGTTCTAAAATCACGTTAATTTATTTAAAAAAAAAAAAAAAAATCAAAAACCAGTTCTCTTTAAGCCACAA